TCCATAAAAAGTGATTAACCCGCGACATTTGCTTGAAATTTTCACTTAAAGGCAGTGATCACAGTGGCTGAAGGGTGGTGCGGTTTGGTGATGTATTGAACGTCATTGGCAAAGGACGTTAAAGGCGGTCCCAATCACCCCCAAGTGCGTTGTCGAGTCTAATCCACCAAAACTGCACCAGCAATCGTGGTCACTTTCTTTGAGGTGCTGAAGATTTTCACCGCGCGGTGCCGCGCTGGCACAGAGTCCAGAGCTTTCGTCTTCACGAAGATGGGCTCCCATCCAGACCAGCGAAGCTTCCACTTGAAATAGTCCATGTTCGACCTTACAATCTTGGCATGATGAGTTCAGTAGGGATAATTCTTCGAAGCCTTTCAAGATTGAACTTTTATTAGGCTTACGTTTCGGCTTCTTCGCCTTCGTCAGAGCCTGAAATGGTCAAAAGCATTTGTAACTTGCCCGCCAAACGCCTCAACAGAAGGCTTGAAGAATTATTCTCCTAAAGCTCTTTTTCTCTTGAAAAGCGTGTGTAATTTCTAATTTATTTAGTAGGGAATTGATATGAGCGCTTTGTGACACGCGCAAGCTGGTCGTATCGACCGAATGCACTCTATAATACCATCATTTTCTTACCCACTTTGAATGCATGGCGCAAACCAGAGAAACTGATTGACTTTCACTGACTGATTCTTCTTTATGCCATATAGCGTCCGTCTAGTGTAACGGCTCCACCCGGTGTCATGAAACTCCTAGGTGCTGGATTTTCAATGGCGCTCGGGAATGAGTTCGAGTCCAGCGGCTGGCTTGGAAGCTCATCGACTTTCCCTTCCCTAATCGTGATATAAGCGCAGTAGAATTCGAGTTAGGAGTTCATTGTGAGAACAGGGCCTAGTTTGGGATGCGTAGGCTACTGGTCTGGGAACGATTTCTCATAGAGAGCAGCTTTACGGCTACTTCACCTTGAGGAAGCCCACTATCTGTCATAGGCTCTCACATCCGAAAAGCTTCTCAGACGCGCTGTTAACTGAAGGTTACATAAACCACATCTTTCTTTTCAGCTAGTTTGAGTCGCGTGAGTTTAAAGGCTACGTAGCCATGCTGTTTAACTACCTCCCTCCCCCTTATTACTCTAGTTTCCGTGTTTTTCGTTTCATAGATCTCTGAAGGGATGATGAGGCACAAATGTACTTTTGGAGCGTTTTCGCTGGAAAAACGATCGCGCACGCATCTGTTGTCGGATGCTTTTCGGCGTGCGAACGTTTTGAAGAGGGCGACGAGGTTTTTCCGAAGACATCGAATGATGGAACATGTTCAGATACGAAAGCAAACTACGGGATGTACTGAAACTACGACACGCTGGCGATTTGCAATACGTCGAAGAGCAGGATCTGACAGGGATTGGTGAGTTTTTTCCTGAACCTGTGGATCTTGTGTTGTCTTACTTTGACATTGTTACTCATTCTTGATAATTTATTCGTTATTTGTTTGCCCATTATTGATTGTTTATTCATTATTTACTCGCTCATTATTTTGATTTATTCATTTACTTCCCCTCCAATCTGCAACTTTCGCGAGGAAATCGAAGTTCGTCGTAAGTTACTATCAATTAAAAAGAACAATTGACACCAGAAATTATTAAAAAAAATTAGCGAGAAATTTTCTGTGGATTTCAAAGCCGTAAATTAAGAAAAGTTTTGTTTGAGAAGACTTCAAAAAGTCAAGGAACTTAGGTGAATTGAGAAGCCGGGAAAAAATGGTTGTTCTGGGGAATGAAAAGAGAACAGCTGATAAACTGGCAGCAAACCAAGTGTGATAGTCACAGCATGCAAAAGTGAGGATGATTAGCCACAGCTGAGGAAGAAGCGAAATAGAAAAAAAAACCCTGAAGAAAAAAAAGTCAGAAAAAAAGAGGAATAGGAAAAGTGAAAGAGGAGGAATAAAGCCCATGCACTATCACACAAGATAAGTTCCACATTATGTCGCCATCTGATCTGTTTTTATTGGTCAATGTTAAGTGAGAGGTATTGCATTAATTATTTGTTATTGGACTGTATTGTTGTGGGAGTTTATGTGTTCTTCAAATTTGCTCTCCATGGTGTTTTCTCACATTTAGTAGCTGTTTCATTCCTAGGGCCTCATCCAGTCGGGCCAGGAATGTATTATGTGAAGTTGGTGCCGCTTAAAGAATTTCCCAACTGCTTGCCAGCGAGGAAGTTGACAAACACCCAAACAAAAAAAAAAGAAAGATTATTCGAGGCGTATTTTGTTCAGCAGCTGCTAGCAGCTTGATTCCGATGTTTCTTGGGTGGATAAGTCTAGATTGACCTAATTGTGCATTCATTGTCCTTTTTTGATGTTGCTGGCAGGAGAATGCACTCGAGCAGGTGCAGTGGCTAGGCATTAGACTTCGGCTACGGGTACGTCGTGTTGCACGAGGGACCGAAGCCCATTTAGATTTCTTCGCCTTCTATGCGATTTTTTTATCTATCATTTTGATCATGTTAACAGATTCCGTAAGTACCCTTTGTATTCGCGGCAAAGGGCGTCTGTATTGCAGACTTCACAAAACAAATGACGACGGTATCTGCAGAATTTATTTTGCCATTGAAAGATACTTAACCGAATTTATTTCGTGTACTATAAATTTTACTAATTACTTAATTGCCACTTGTCACCTATCGGCTGTCACAGCGAACTATCAATGGTTAGATTTCTTTGGTAAGTGTCGTCACTTGTGTTGTGAAGGATGCAGTGCGGACACACCTGGTCCATATGGCTACGAGAAGTCATTACCAGGAAAAAGTTCCATGGAACTTTCTATTTTCTATTTTCTTCTATTTAATTTTTTGCGATTCTTTGTCTACCATTTTGATCATATTAACAGTTTTCATAAGTACCCTTTGTATGCGGTCGGGTGCGTCTGCACTGCAGACCTCACAACACATGTGGCGGCGGAATCCACAAAATGTGAAAATTTCCGCCAACAAAATGATAAGCTGATTGCGGTTGTAGTTTTGTTAATTGTTACTACATACAATTACTACTTATCAATTATCAGCTGTCATTGTAAACTATCAATTATCGGATTTTTTCCGGAGAGCGTCGTCACTTGTGTTGTGAAGTGTGCATTGCAGACGCACCTGTTCGCTGGAACCTTGCCAACTTGTCGTTTTGCTTATGCCTTGTTCCCCAGTCAAAACTGCCCCCTTCCCTACCCCCTCCGTCTTGCCGTTTAGGAGGAGGAGCAGGCACAGGACAACTTTCTCGTTCGTGTTGTCTTAGTAGGCAACAGGTTATTGTTGTACGGTCATAGAATGTGTCTAAGTGAATCATCCGATTATTCATTGGTTTTTCGGTTCTTTACACTGTCGTTTGTCTATGGGCAGAACGAAGGTGCGAACAGCTGAGCAGGAGGTCTTAGGAAACCTGAAAATCAATAATAATGAAAACAGGTTGCTGAAAATGAGCCTGGTTCCGGAGTCATTCATTTTCTTCCAGTGCCGTTAACCGATATGTGGTTGGTGGGTTCATTGGGCGTCCTTCACTCCTCTTATGCTTTGGCGTTCGTTGTCGCTTGTACTCGTGAAATACCACTTGGTACCGTCAATAGTCGCCAATTTTGGCTTCTTGTCCTCTTTCGCTACCCAAACACGCTATAAAGACCACTGATAGCATCAGGCGTTTTAGCATAGAGTTAATTTGCCTTGTACTAAACAATGCTGTCCATGTCGCAGGACATACTGTTCAGTCTGCAGGACGTACGGTACATTGTGACACTTCGATGCGCCACGCCCATTTTCCGCCCTCCTCATGCGCTGAACCCGCCTAGGTCCCTCCGTGCCCCGCCCATTGCATAAAATGCACTGATGTCCACCGTGTCCTAGGGGCCAGGGATTACATCCTACGCCCTGGCGATAGACCGGTGACCCCCAGATGCCCATAGGGTGGAACTCCCAAAAGTCGCCAGAAAGAAGGTTTCTTGCGTTCTCCAAATGTGTCGCCACGCCCGGATTGCCGCATTTCGTCAATCCAGCAGTTAGCATGCTTATTCAGCACACCAGGGTCAACCGTCCATTGGACAAAGTTCAACGAGGGGGTCGTATTCGGCCGACGAAAAGGGGGGTCGTATTTGCAAGGTCGGAGGCAGCGTCATTCCTACACCAACGGGGGTCGTAATGTTTAGTTCTTATAGTAAAGCTGGAGAGGGGGTCGTATTGAGGCCCTCTCGAAGGGGGCAGGGGAGTCGTAAAATTTTTGAGAATTTGTCGCAACGTGACGGTTGACCCTGATCATGTCTCACGTAGTGGCAACTTAAAGGCAGTGATCACGAATGGGTGAGAGGGCGTTGGGGTTTTGACGGAATTATTGAGCATAATAGGTGGAAGGGCTCACGAGACGGTTGCAACCAAAGCTCCGGCCTTTGATGGGTCTAGTCCCCTCAAAGGCTGGGGGTTTGGTTGGGACTGAATGACCAATGAAGTTCAGTGACGTCATCAAAACTGCATCCACCTTCCAGCCATCATGATCCCTGCTGTTGAACCGGCAAAGCAGTGTTTCCTTTTCTCTCCCTCATTTCTCACATCAAGTCGTTTCCTCTTCTTTTCATTTTTTAGCTTATCGAACTCCTATCAGAATCCTGAAGCGCTAAGGATTTTCCCTTGGGAAATGTCTCCCCTTCTCGCCCACTAACGTTTGTGTTCCCCCCTTATGTGGTGAAATGTCGCTTTTTGTACATGTGATCCGTTAAATCCCTTCTGTTCCTTTATTATCTTCACTAAAATCAACAGATGTTTCCTGCTTTTCCAGCTGTTTACGTTTTATCTTCTCCTGTTTCCAAATTTTTTTTGTTGGTTCAGTCTGAGCGACTCCTTGTGTATTATCTTTATGATCTGTAGTCGACAACGACGCAGAGGCTTTCATGATCATCTCCGAAAAGCTTCTTCAAAGATTATTGCCACGCTCATGCTCAACATAATGCCCTCCTCTGCCTTTTCTTGTCTCCCATTATCGCACCCCATCTTCTGCTGTAGCGGATTTGGTCACTGGCACTCAGCCTTTTGCTCTAATCACCTACTTTCATTTGCCAGGCTAAGGTAGAGTTAGTTGTAAGTTAATCGATTTCTTTCTAACATCGCCCTCGCCATCCCTTTCTTTTGCCAAAGATTGCTGGAGGAAGCAGTTGAATAAGTTGAGTTAGATGAGAAGGCGTTTGGACGGAAGAATTAAGCGTCCGTGAGGTAGGCCCTTTTTGTTCTTTATCTCCTGAAAGCTTCCTTTGCTGCGGAGAAACTTTCGCAGGGCTGACATGTAAGTGCCTCATTTGTACCCGACTTCGGTATCCTCTAGGACCAGAATAAACTCGATCCCTTGGCTCGCCTTGGGTACTCTATAATTAGCATCTGACGTCGCCAACCCCCTCCTCCTGTGCCAGGTGAGCATCGTCATATTATCACATTTATCAGCTGACACACCCCTCTACCGCTAAATATCACTTTCACCTCCTTCCTTGGCCTTGCGCGCGTTTAGTTTCTATGTTCCTCTTCGTATTGCTAACAAGGAAAGGCTCCCAGGTCGCCATGGCCATTCAAGAAGAGATGTATACCGCTAGATGTGCCTTTGAACGCTGATCTCAAATCTACCTTCCAAATCTGCTAAACGATTCTCTGAATGGAGTTATGAAGCAAAACAGCGCAACGGCAGTGGTCGGGATTTGCAGTCAAAACGTCGTAGGATCGGCCCCTGATCGCGTTTACTGTCTTGCGTTCTTCAGGAATTAGGCTAAATAGGCTATTAAAAGCCTTTTAGCTGTACTCTGAAGAAGGCAAAACAGTAGACGCGATCAGGGGCCGATCCTACGACGTTTTGACTGCAAATCCCGACCACTGCCGTTGCACTGTTTTGCTTCATAACTTCATTCAATCAGCGTTCGAAGGCACATCTAGCGGTATACATCACTTCTTGAATAGCCATGGCGACCTGAGAGCCTTTCCTTGTAAGAGCAACTTCCTGTTTTTTAGTGTTATGTCGTGCCAAGTAGGACTCGTTTCAGCGGAGGCGCTAATTACTATCGGTTTTTAGTCGAGCGAATTTTTCGTTGTTGTTTCGTGTGACCCACCCGTTCCGTGAATTTGATATGCAATAAGGACGTTTGCTGTCTCGGTGCGTTGTTTGAACAGAGCTGTCCAGCTAAAAAACGTCATGACACTGCTTCGATTTTTCCATTTGGGAGGTAGCTTAGTCCTCGCAAAGATTCTATTCTGTCCTGTTGGATTTATGATATTTTGGCTTTTTCTCAGATTATTCCCATAAAATTCTGTTTTCGCTGGTCATCAAGTTCAACCCGGGCCTAAATTGAATTGGAACACATTTTTGTTCTCTAGATGGATATAGCTAGGCACGCTTATTTCTGTACTGGAATATTAAATTACATTCATTTACAAAGCGAATGAAGGGCTTGAAAATCTCATCATTTACGCCACACATTGCTAGTTGGTTGGAAAGGGTCAAGAAGATTGTGGGTAGGTACCGACCTTTAACCTCATGGGCAGGCTGCTTTTGATTAGTTGGTCAGAATCCTCGATGAACACTAGTTGGTCATCTTTGGTCACGAAAGCAGTTGGGCTCACGATTTCGACTACAGCGCTTTTAGGATGCGCCATGCATCCCACGTCCATGCAGAATCATGTTGGCATTTAGACATTTAGATGCTTCTCATACTCGGACCAAATAATGAGTTGCGATGGCAGGCTTACATAAACATTAGTGGTTTGAGCCTTTCATATCAGTTTTTTGATAGTCAACAAATCTCAGCAAGATGGAAGGCTAGTTAAACTTGATGGATTGTGAGCGGTGACAGCGCGTTCTGGAGGTGCCCCACTTCCACTCCATCTGGCAATTCAGACTCCTCAATTCTGCCGGGACTATTTTTGTAAGCCAATTACTTTCTACACTGGATTTGAATGCATTTAGAATTTAAATTCCAGAAAGCTGGAGACATGCACTTAATAGTAATCTTCAATCAAAGCTATTGATTTATTGGTCTCCAATCAAGGTTATTGCTTACTAATTCAAGTTTATCTCCTCAAGTTATTGCAATGGCGCACTTAAGCATGCACGAAATAATTGAATAAATAGATAATGACTTTGAATAGACCTGTTGGTATAATACAGCTCTCGATTTCTTTGAAAATTTTTTTACGTATATGCCGCCGCAACCTTTAAAGTTTTTCCCATCTAACTCAGCTGCGATAATGAGGCAGCGTTTATACTCAGCGCTCCGGGCCATGTGGAGGATGGGGAGCTTGCGAAAGGGATCATATGTGTATTGTTTGTTTTGATGCAGATCAACTATAAATTCGGGGGGTTTGTGAAAAGTGAAGTACCAGTGACACCAGCACGCTAGTGGAGCGAGCTCAAATCTCAGCCGTATCTAATATTCTACGCGAATTCTTTTAATCTGATCGATAATCTATTAGTTACTTGTCGCCGATTCTTCTTTTTTCCCCCGCGCCCATCCATTACATCTGAACTTTCGCAGGGTATGACCCTGCCTATTAACGTCCTGTTAATGCGCTGTATTCTACGCAGGGCTCTCCTACCACTTGAGCTAAGTGCAGGCTCGCATGTCGGCGTGGTCTGTCAATCGACCGTATCACCCATATTTCTGGATGCAAGTATTAAATTTTTTCCCTTTGTTTTTTTTTTCATTTTATTCAGTAAGAGGCCCTCTAATTCATTCGGTAGGGTTGTGATTATTTGAATAGCCCGCTGAAGTTCCAAGCGTTCGCAAAATGTAAAAGCTGGAAGGTCTCCTAAGTTCTAATATCTTCTGGTTTGCTACATATATTTCCGTTTTTGTAGCTATAGCTTGAAAATTCAACTATTCGCGAGAAGTCCATTACAGGAATGAGCCGACCGGAGCAGAAACGTCTTCCGAAAAGAGTACACCCGATTGTATCCGAGTGGTTTTGTCGGCAAATTGAAAAAAGTTTTCGGACGATCGGAAAGTGCCGATCGACGAGAGATGAAAAAAAAAAAAAAAAAAAAAAAAAAACAGATTGTTCAAGAAGCCGACGTTGACAGCATGTCAATACCAACCTGAAGAAGTACGTTGGAAACGCTTGCGTTTAATTGTTTTTTATTTGCAGCCCTATGTTCTTTTTTTCATATTTATGATTATGGGGGACGTCAGCCGTTTGGGCTCTTTTAGGTTGAGGAATGATTTTGCCTAACGTAACCAAAATGATTTCTTTTAGGATCACCCTGTGCAAGGAATTGGGTCACGGCGAGTTTGGCTCTGTATGGCAGGCATCATGGAAAGGTGGACCGAATGGAGCTGAATCGATGCAGGTTGGTTTCCTTATTTCCCTTGTATTTCCTATTTTGGACATACTGGTTCCGAAACAAGGACCCACATGTTAGGGTTTTCTTGTCCCCTGGGTCCGCCTAATCGTCAAAAATTCCTAACTCCTGAATTTGCTCACCAGTCTACCTGGACATTAGTTGAAGCCAAGTTGCAAAGTGAATGCATAGTCGCTCTCAATTTTTCCAGTCGCGATTTCGAGTGGAAGCGGAATGCGTGGCGCAATGCCGCTCAGTCATGAGCATGAAATCCTTCATCTTTTCCTTCAATCAATGAATGATCATTTCTTACAGGTCGCTGTGAAATGTGTCGCACCTGATAAGTTGATGACCAGCTCGACAGCCTTTCTTCAAGTGAGCGATAATTTCTATTTTTTTGCACAATTTGATGTATTTTTATTTCTTTTATTTGTTTTATTTATTTAGCCTTTGTTTTCCGGTTAACAGCACCCAAACATGGAAAACTTAATTGTTTACAAGAATTAGCAATAGCGATATTATAGTACAGAGAAAGAACAAATATGGGAAAAAGAACACTTGTCTTGACATGGAATAATTATAATATGCGCCAATAGAAGCTAGGAATATTTATCAAGTCTCCCTCTTCCCCGCTGGAAATTTTCTGCCTCCTCGTTCTGTCTTTTATAATATAATCTTTATAACAGTTTAATAATAAGGCGGCTGACGTTGATTTTTTGTTTTGTTGGAGTTTTTTTTGTTTCCTTTGTTTGTATCTGAGCATTTGGGCCAACAGAGAGATTATGTACTCGTTACACTTCTTTACCGATAATGAAATAATAATTAAATAATAATAATAATAATAATAGTAATAATCATAATCATAATATTTAGGCTAATGTGGCAGCATGAAAAGGAAGGGCAGTGGCCGGCCAACACTGCAACTTGCGGGCGAAGGGGGGGGGGGACTCTGATACCATCTTAGAAGGTCCTTTCTAATTCCACTCGACCACTGTCAGCACGTAGACGTCAGTGGGTGGGTGTTAAGCAAGGTAGATGTCGAAAAAGGTGAGGGGGTAGAAGGAACAGGGTTCGATACATAATTAGGTTACACGCAGAGTTATTGTAGGGAATACTAAAATAAATAAAAAAAAAACTAGGCAAAAGGGGAGTGGAAATCCCAGCTGTGTCCGAGTGAGGCGCCCATCTGTTTTTTTTTCTTGCGATTTTCTCCCTCCCTGGGCTGACCACGGAGTTGCCATTTAGTTTCCGTCGTTTCCCCTCCTCCCCCCCTTTTCTAATATTTGCGGGAACGCATATGGGGACTGTCTACTGCCCTGATCATGGCCACTGAGAACTCTTACATGTGCGTACTACAACTCAGCAACGAATCACTTTTAGGGAGATGGGAGCTGCGCTTTTGAAGTTGTGCCGCTCAAGTGATTAGCATCCTTCAATATCATGGTACAGAGTTGTTCTTACTGTGATATTTGCAGTCAATGAAATATTAAATAACATTTTTACAGTGGGTCTAACTTTTTCATCACCAAAAAATGCATTTTTACTAAGTATAAGTACTTGGTATAATTAATTAAATCTAGTAAAAGACCAAATTATGTCGAGATTTTGTGGTTGATTAGAAGCTGTAATTAGTGTTAAGTGAAAATAACCCATGGATAACAAATATAGCAAACCCGCGAGAAATTGGGCGCATGGGAACGGGCTGCACGCTTCACCTGCTGACAATAGCAGTGTGACGGATTTTCGTGATCTTCCTTCAACAGTAAACCTGGGCCGCACTCGGTCTAGGTGAAAATTGGAGGAGTAAAGTAACACAAACTCCAGCCTCGCATCCAGGACCGTAACTGCCACAGGGTGATGCACAAGTTTTTGTTACATTTCCCACTCGAAGTGGGTTTAATACATCATTATACGTAAAAACACCTCCGCTCGTGCAGTGTAACTTTGTACACCTTAGAAACTACCGCAAATTTGCCTATAGAGGTAAGTCGATGCCCTGATTACGAAAATGACTTTCATTTTTAGCGGTGGCGCCATCTGGCGCCAGTTGGCGTCACCTTGTCACGACACCTTTTTCACCAAATTTGGTGTAAACTTCCGTATAGGGGTTATTTGGTGTCCTGATTACGAATATGACATTCATTCTCGGCGCTGGCGCTATTTGGCGCCTATTTTCTGCTCGTCTGCGCTCTCCAACCGAGAAATATGCGTTGAACAACGTTAATGCCAAAAACGAATGTCATATTCGTAATCAGGGCACCAAATAACCCCTATACAGAAGTTTACACCGATTTTGGTGAAAACAAGGGTCGTGACAAGGCGCTAAAAATGAATGTCGTTTTTATATCCCCTACCTCGAATTACCCCTATGGATATGTTACGGTTGTCTCTAGATGTACCCAAGGGCACTACACCAGCGGAGGATTTTTTTTACGTGATATTGGGCTTATCTACCGAAGATATGGGTGATTATCCTTGCAAAACTTCTCCCTTTGAGTTTTTAGATTGTCCCGACCAACAGTGGGACTGCCTTCGGCACCGAAGCGGCATGCTATACCGCAATAATCTTTATCCATAGAATTTGTTAAAAGGTCACATTTGACGCAATTGGGGGTCGTACTGATGTTGAAACACGATTTGACCCCTGTTTTGGCCCTGGTCCAATAACATTGACTGTTCTCTGAGAGAAGGAGAACGTTGTGAGCCAAATAGGCGCCACATGACATCGGCGCTTGAATTGAGTATCATATTCGTGATTAGAACCATCAGTACACCTTCATAGGCGAGTTCTACCGGAAATTGTTCTTTGTACCACTTCACAAGTTTCTGCTCTTGTAATAGTGTGATAGCGCCTTTTTTAAAT